AAGTTTTGATTGGATGCTTTATATGATCTCTTTATTGATTGGTATTACAGATACGACGATTACTTTATAGATTTGACACTCATACTGTTTACTTCTTTATAGACTTCCGTACTGTAGTATTTTACTGTTTATAGAATATACTACTACTGTATATAAATTTTACTGTACAGACTTCCGTACTATAGTATTTTATTGTTTATAGAATATACTACTATTGTATATAAATTTTACTGTTTCTGCATTGATTCAATGATTATATGAATGTAAATGTTATTGATCATATGAATGTAAATGTTATGATTTGACTATTAACATGCATATTGCTCATTTGTCGTGCTTTGAATTTAGTTATAGGTTTCAGTGACCAGCTTAGCTTTTTAATTTCACTATATGTGGTTAAATGATTTCAGGTCAGGGCAGAGGAGCATGTGTGTGAGGCTGGGTCAGGATTCTTCAGGTTATGTTTCTTTTTATTTTTTTTTTGTACTCATGACAGAGTAGTTATGATTTGATTGTGTAGATTCTTAGTAGTATATATGATTTTTAGGAATGAATATAAATGTGTACATTGATGATTTAAATTATAAAATATGTTGTACTGTTTATTACTGATAGATGATATTAAATAGCTCTGGTTGTTGTTTACTAAAAGATAAGAATAATTCTTCCAATTTCGATTATGGGGCATCACAATTGGTATCATTTGGGAGCTAAGTGTCATACAAGATAAAGTGTTATGTCATGGGAGCCACATCTTGAACCCTATATGGGACAAAGTGTTACATGATAGGAGCCACCACTTGAGCTTGTAGGGGCCACCTCTAGAGTCCTATATGCCTTGTGGATGATTATGGGAAACAAATGCTAATGAGGACGTTAGTTACTTAAGTGGGGGAGATTGTGAAATCCCTTAAGTAAAAGAAAGCTAACTCTTAAACATTGAGTCGCCTTTTGGTATAATGACTAGAATTTCAATAAGAAACTTCATAGTTAAGCATGCTCATTCAAGAGCAATTATGGGATGGGTGACCAACTGGGAAGTTACACCAACATGACAAAACTGTGAGGCTCTCCGGCCAAAGCATACAATATCTCGATAGTTTAAGAGTTTGGGATGTTATAATAGGTACCTGAATCTCGGCTTTGATACAAATTAGATATATCGTGGAAGCGAAATGGCAAGTAAAAGAGATGAAAAATGTAGGAACACCAAGATGGGGTTGATTTTTGGATTATATCTTCAATAAAATAAAGGAAGATACAAATAATCTAGTATTCAAGAGATAGATCAGCTCTCCCACAAACCCTAGACGCCGCTAGGAACTCGCAACAATACTAGGAAAATAAAACTCAGCAATAGCATAAACTAAACCCTAAATAACTCCCCCTTAAATAGCCCTAAAATACAATAACGTAAATGGAATTTTTCTAATCAACATAAACATAATTTAGGAAACCTTCCTAAATAATTAAGCCCTTCCTAATTAGCCTAAACATAATTTAAAAAACATTCCTAATCAATTAGCAATATAAAAACAATCCTAATTATTTCTCTTCCTTACATAGTGAATATTAAATTTCTTAGGCCCTACAAGGAGGTCCGAAACCCCATCACTACTGTTGCTTCGGTTCCCGCCCAGTGGTTTTGCTAGGTTTGGTCGGTCTAGGCCGGCTTGCTCCCACCCTATTCCGGCGTAACAAAGTCCTATCCCAATCAACCGCATAGACATAAAGTTAAGAAGCCAATGAAAACAATTTAATTAACTGAACAACCTTATCAAGAGGGTAAAACTGTAGGACAGTTATCTGGCTTTCCTCATCTTTGAGGTTTTAAGCCCCACTTAGTTCATCCTATGGATGTAAGCCCTAAAACCATTGTTGAGCTATGGATGTAAGCCCTGAAACCATTGTTGGGCTAGTACAAAGGTAACAACAAATCAAAGCAAATTAATTCTGCAGTATTTTTAAGGATGTGAAACTGGTGTGATTTAAACAAGAGTTGCTTGCGGAAATTAAAATGAAAGTTAACTAAAGCGTTACCACCACAAATTTATCACTAATAAAATAAAGGACTAAATGTATTCTAAGTAATTAACTTGCTTAGGCGAAGAGTTGCTTTGAGATAACCAAACAATTCATAAACATTCAAAGATAAAAGAATTACTTAAATGCTCAATAATGAGAAAATTCACCTTGAGCACATTCTCACTCATTCACTCTTTGGCTTTTAGCGGAGAAGAAAGAACCACACGAGCATGGAGAGCACCACTACAGAAAAGTAGACGAAGGACTTCGTTACCGGAGAGGTAGCCGCCGGTGGGGGAGGTGGTGGATGATGCCCGGTGATTGTCCAAACGTAGTCTTGAAATCGGCGGTCGATGACGTGCACAAGTATAGGGAGAATTCGCTCCAAGTATTCGCCAACTGTGTCTTCTTGCTCAAACCCCGCGTCGAAGAACGGAGATCGTAGGACGTTGAGACTACCGTCGGCGTTGAACACAAGGCCCCACTCGAATTCGGGATCCGCCATTCAACATTGAAGTGGGGATGGGAAGAAGAAAAGAGAGGAGGAGTTGGGCCGTGAGCTAGGGAGAGGCATGGGGAAAATCTGAATTTGAATTTCAGATTTTCTTGGATTGGAGGGAGAGGTTATTTGCCATTAAAATCTCCCTAAATTATGTTAGAGAGAGAGGGGCGGCTATTAGGTGGGAATTTAAGAGGTTAATTAGTGGATGCTTAGGTGGCAAGTGGAGAGAGAAAAGGTTAGATAGGGTGGCCGGCCAAGCAAGGAGAAGAGAGAGGGAATTTGTGTACGGGGTGGCTGCAGAGGGACGGTAAGAGGGAGGGGGTGGGTTTGGGTGGCTCGGGTTTGAGGGAGGGAAAAGAGAAAACAACAGAAAATTTTCGATAAAACCAAGAGCTCACCAGGTGGGCTGTTGGGTATTGCGGGTGGAGCCTCTCCTAGGTCTCCTCACTTTCTCTCAAGCTCTCAAGCAAGACAAGAAGAATGAAAACTCAGAAAATTTTTATTAATCAAACATTAAGCTCATACAATGGGAGGAGACCTCTTTATAAAGGCCTCATCAAAAGAAAATAACATAACTCAAATGCCCACAGGGCTACAACAAAGACTAAACCATCATAAGGGCAAAATAGTAAACTAAAGCTTGAAATAAAAGATACATAGAAAATATCATAAGATGACATGGCAACATCAGAAATATAAGCTCCTAATCGTAGCCGTCGATCTACGATTCCTTCGCCGGTAGACCTGCCTAAAATGTTTGTCGATGACCTCATCAGAAACCCAAGCTAAAACTCAAGACAACTACCACCTTAACAAGCCCATCATCAAAATTAAAACCAACCAAATTCCTCAATCAAATTTGATGTGTTAGATGCATGGTTCTTCGATTTGAATTGAAACTTTTTTATAGTTATGCAATGTCTCTAAGCTCTTGTCGATCATTTCCAATACCTCTAAAATGCAAGCAATCATGTTGTGGACCTCTAAACTATTCAATAAATCTGGTACGGACAGCCCTTGGTTGTTGCGTCAATAGGTATACCCTAGATAAGAAAACCAAGGGATCATTATCGAATTAACCTCAACCTCTACAATCATTTCACATAAATTAAATTTAAACATAAATATCAAATCTAAGTCCAAAACTAAGCCTAAGCAATCTCCTTAATCAATAGTACTCTATTATGAGTAAGAGGGACAATTAACTAAGGTGGCTTGTGCCCATAGAAAATATCGACCTGTGATCTAAATAAACCATGATCTAACCATAAAAAAAATTGATTATAACTGAGCTAATCTAACTCAAAAAAGATTATCTTGAATTTCTCTATCACAACAAGAGAATTCAAGATAGGGAGATTTTTCTTGAGCGTTCACACAGTCACAAGTTAATACAACCCAAATACAAATATCTAGGAGAAAAATCACCCACGTATAATAATACTTTGAACATGCCATTTTTAAGACTAAAAAGCAACCTATAATAAAAATATCAAACACCAAATAGTCATTCCTCATCAAACTTTATACTAAGGAGCAGCGCATGCAAAACCTAAATAAAAAAATGCAAATAAAGCATCTGTCCCAAAGAAGATGAAGGTAAATAATATGCAACGATTTCTCAATCAATAATAGAAGTAACCCAAAGAAAATTCTAATTAATCATCTTAAAAGAGAATAAAAATTTTAAAAAAAAAATTTGTAAGTAAAATTTCCAAATACAAAGCAACAAAACTAGTCATAAGGAGACATAGCTATAATCGATATACATAAGCTTTATAACTACGTCATTCATGGGCGTAGAACTTCAACCATGCAAAACTATTACGATTACAGCTAATAAAAGTGCACCAACACGCCCCCTCAATATTGACAAACAAACTTGTCTTTTGAATGAGTTAAACAACATGTAAAGAAATAGGCTCGGATGGAAAAACATAAAATAAGTCTAAAAAATTTTCTCTTTTTTCAAAGCAGCCTATTTACTGCAGTACCCAATCGAATAAAGAAGACAATAATCCACTACATCTATGTGTTTTTTAGAACAAAAACAAAAAAAATGAATGGAAGTTCGCAAGAAGTTCACAAAAGTCATAGAGATTTTATGTGGTCTAAAGATAAGACTTTCTAAATCCATTCTACTATATTTTTAAGATAAGAATTTCGGGAGATGATGTCCTTTAAATAAGAGATTAAGACAGTAATAAAATCAACAATGTGGCCAAAAATATTGCACAGAATATATGCAATATATTTGATTGGAGGCCCCCCACAAACCCTCAAGCAATGAGGCACTGCCCCCTGCAATATAAAATTAGATACGAGGAAGTAAGGAAGAGAATCAAAAAGACCAAGTCAATGGTAAAGATTAGACTAGACAAATTGGCAATGTGTGGAAGAATAGAAAAACAATGAAAATCAGTATTATGCATCTAGAAAACTTGTAGGAAACATTAAATGAAGAGTGGAATACCAGATTGTCGAACAGCTAGGAGATCAGTTGATACAAGGACAAGTAAACGGACACAATGACGCAGAAGCTGTGTGGCGTTCTTTCCCAATGAATCCTATTTCAAATTACCAAAATAACAGTATTAGGCAATGACATCTTCTAAACTCAAGCAAAAAACTGACAGCCTGAGAATTAAAAAAAAAACATGTAGTAATAAAAACATAAAAATCGAACTTACAAGAATCCAAGAATTCAGAATGCTAAGGCCTTCTCTGTTGCTAGCAAAGGACTTCAGAACTTCCACAGGAAGACTCAACATCTCTTTAGCAAGATGTAATCTTCCAGAAGTTGTTTTTGCACTGATGAACATGTCCTGCAGTAGGGCTTCCTCAGCCAATAACTTGTGTGCTCCATCTGAAGAGATACCACAACTATAACGGGAAAGTTTACATGCATCAAGTCTCTTCGACAGGTCTCGCAGTTCATTTCTTTCACAATCAGACCTTGTTTGCATGTCCTCTATTGCCTCAACCTCCATGACATAATCCTTACCAGTACTTAAGATGTCATTAATACGTACAGCTTCTCGAAGTCCACTCATCATTGCACCACCAACTGTATCTGGGTGCTCTTTGCAGGTGGCTTCTCCAGCAAAAAATAAACAGTTCGCAACAGGCTTTCCTAAGATATCATAGTCCTCCCCAGAAGCCCCAACTGCAACATAGGAGTAGGCACCCCTGCTGAAAGGATCCATACCCCAATTTGTGACGACATGCGCAACAGGATCAGGCACAGAAGCTTCACTAAAAAGCTTACGGAGAACCATCAAAGCATGATTAACATGATCAGCAGAACTTAAATTCTGTCCATATACAGCTGCTTTCCCAACCAAGAGTGCTATAAGAACTGGGGCACCAACTGTTTTCATGACATTCCAAAACATGAAACAACGGCCCCTGCTATCTGTTTCTTCTGCAGTAGCCCCAAAATAATCTACAGTTTCGTCCCAAAAAACATTAGGAAACTCTAATACTACCTTATTCAACACACCAAAACCAAGCCTTTGGATAGAAGACTCTTTCCAATCAGGCAGAGCTGGAGAAAATATGATGGTGTTTGCTTTAAGGCAACCTAGTGGAATGGTAATCAAGACTGAATCTGCTGAAAACTCTTTGCCATTTGATGTGCATATTTTCACTTTGTTTAACTGTTGAACAGATCCATTAAGATCTGTAATGTCATAAAAGATTTCAGTGACTACATGATTCAAGCGTATGTCAAGGCCCTTAACCAAACTATCTAAAACAGCGCCATAACCACCTTTAATCATACAATGAGCCCCCCCAAATCCTCCATAAACATCATCCTGATTCCAATAAGGAAGGGATACTTGCTCAAGTGAGGCAGCACATCCATACTCCAAGTTTGCAAAGTGCCAGTCCATCACCCTTCTTTCAAGAGGACTCAGTATATCTGTTTTCTGAACACCACCATTGCGACATTGAGTTCCATTTTTGACTGAAGGTCCAACCTTCTCCATACTACCTGATTCAGAAGCAATGTTTAACTGTTCTGCCTTTACAACAGGTGATGTTGACAAAGACATCCGACACCTCCTAAGAGCATATTCCAGCCCATCCTCAAGAGACATAGTCATTGCATTCTCACCAAGTTGTGATATGAATAACAAGGTGTCATCAAGGAGACTATTGTATTCTGCTTCAAGAGCCTCATCCAAATCAGTGGGCACTTTATGGCCTGTTACTATGTCATAAAGAGGGCAATCACTGTTTAAAACGGTCAACTCCAGGCCTAATTGAGTACATATTAGAGAGGAAGGGTCTGGCCTTCTTTCAGTTGCAACATCAGCCTGGACACCAGTTATAATGCTGGCTCCAAGATCCACAGGAACTGAAAGGGACTTTCGATCTGTGCACACCCGACCTCCTATCCTGCCTCGAGCCTCCAGCACAGTAACAGAATAGCCTTGACGCTGTAAATGGCGAGCTGCGGTCAAACCAGCAGGCCCAGCTCCAACAATTACTATTTTCTTCTGCAAACTATAATTGGATTCAGCACAACCACTCCCTTTAGTGGCTTTCTGCTTCGGGGACACATGTGATTCCATTGGATGATCAACCATCCCACAGCTTCTTGGAATATCAAGTATAACCGTACTATGACCTTCAACATCTCTTTCCCAAGGATGGACTGCACAGAAACTTGCTGCTTTATCATAATAAGATTCCCTTGATTTGCAGGTGCAGTCAACTGATCGCATATCACTCGATGCAAACACTGAATCATTAAGGGCCCCTGCATTTTCTACAATATTTGCATTTCCAGATAATTCAGATATTAGGCTAGACTCAAGAGGATCCTTATCATCATTAGCATCTTTTTCAGACACACTTTTTTTAAGTTGACCTTGGAATGCTACAGCGTTGACTGATGCACTAATATTTGCAGAACCCTCAACCTCACCTACAAGGCACGCTGCTTCCTCCTCAGAACTAGCGTTCCGCAAATCACAGGTTCTCTTTGATTTTGATTCCTTTGGTGATCCAGAAATAAGTAAAGCAGAGCTTCTAGGACTTCTTTCTGCAGCAATGCCTGAATTGATATATCCCTGCGCAGAAAATATTTTATGTGACCTTACAAATTACTCCTTCCATATCAAAAAGAAAAAAAATCTACAAAGAAAGGATAAACCTGCACGTATCAACCACAAACTGGAACCTACCTTGGTGGCAACTCATGAACTAATCACAAACTTAAGAAAAAAATTCACATAAAAGAATTACGTTTTGGTTCACCGACATATAAGGAATCAACATTACAACACTACCTTCTTGTATTAATTATGGAGAAACAACAATTCAGAATGAGGTACCTTGCTGTATGCTATTTGTAAAAGATATTTCGAATCAATAAGATTTCTACTCAAATATGTGGAAAATCAAATAGTAGGAAAATTTTAGATAATAAGGAGCATGGATATGTAAAAAAGTAATATAGAGACAAAAATCTAATATGACTCCAATATGCAATTTTGGTGCATCTAAACTGATAATTATCAATTAATATTACCAGAAAATAAGGTAATACCTGGATCCTATTATATGAGGAATAAAAGAAAGATGAAGAAAAATGTACAACTTCTAAAATTAAGAAAAGGTGATTGAAATTGAGAATTGCATCAGGATTATTATGATATAAGGCAGTATAATGAAGGCCTTAACATAAATTTCATAAAACCAAAAAGCTGTAACATCTATCTTATAAAAAAATCATTAGTAGCCAAAGTATAGTATAGCAAACATGATGACATGATGTTAAGATAGATGTGTGGGAAAAGTAGAAAAGATGGATTAAGAACTGAAAATAGGTAAGAATGGGACTACCACCTATCAATAAGTTAGTTGCAAAGAAACTTTATTATTTGGGCATGTGCAATAAAAAGTTGAAAGTGGTGGACAAAATTAACAACCAAATTGTACAAATTTATGAATCTATAACACTTAAAGCCGCATTAAACAAAAATTAACAGAAAACAAGCTTATAAACCTAACCACATAATAAATATTGAGTTGAAATCAGAAGAAAATAAGCTTACATTAAAAATATATACCAATACTCTACTACAAATTTATGAACACCAGAATAAACCGAATGTATTCAATAAACTTAGATTAAAATAAAACTTTGTTAGAATTTGACTCTTAATATAGAGGAAAATGAATTCATGTAACATAGTGGGATAAAAGCTTGATGTTGTTGTTGTGGAAAATAAAAGTTTGTTGTGTTGATCACTAACAAGTTACTGATTGGAGATTTGAGCAAGCAAACCAACTAAAGATAGAAATTACTTACATGTTGATCAAGAAACATAAAGATATCACGGCTAAGGGATATTCGAGGAGGCTCATCTTCCAAAGTACCATAAGATAGCCCGCAATCTTCAAAAGTCAACATATGTTTCACATCTTTACTCCAATGATGAAAAATTAAATTCCTGCAATGCAGAAACCTAGCATCAACCGAAATAATTCCAATCCGGTCAAAGGGGCTGGTTAACACAAGCAGCTTGGCATGTGTCTACAGGTATGCTCAGAAGAAATTAAATTATAGTTCATTCACTTATAAGCACCTGAAGAATTACATCATCCAAGGGAATAAGATAATATCAACGATTTAGCATGATTAAATTTTGCATCCATTTTCCATGTTGAACAAACAATGTAACTCTAGGTAACATAGTAATAGCTGATAAGAAAGCAGCTCTTAATACTTGGTGAGATGATAAAGCAACTTAGGGAGCAAAACAACATTATTCAGGTTCAAAAACAATGTAAATCAGCCCAATATATTCAAATAGCACTTGCAATTTACCAACGGAATCATCAACTGAATTTTGACATATATATGAACCTTAGACAACACTAGATGATGAAGAAAGATCTTGAAGAGCCTGAGAACAAAAAAACAGAGAGATGGAGTGTTAAAGGAAAACAACAAGGACAGCTGACAGTGCTACCCTGATTTGCAGCAGATCTAAGGCCACTTTATTGCTGAAATTGGCTATTTTCTTCTCTGTTTTGGTCGCAACCTGCTATGGACAGCAACAGAAATTAAGCAGCAGCAATTTTAGGTGGCTATAAATCTAGATTTTGGATTTTAAGGTTGTGAAGAAAAAGTTCCACTGTTCCAGCAAGTTTCAATGTCTTCAGGTAACAAAACAATGGCAACAACTAGGAAACAGGCCACAACAATTGGGGCAGCAACTTCAGCAGTGGGTAAACCAGCAACAACAAGGGACCAGCTCGCTTTGGCAATGAGCGACAGTACACAAACCAAACCTTCCATGTTGAGGAGTTACGATAAATACAAGGAGAGAGAATAAGAAAATTATTTAGAAAACTTCTCATTTAGCAGAATTCCAAGCCTATAATTAGGCAATTATAGCACCAGATTGATCTAATCTATAACTAAATAAAATCCATTAAAAAAGGAAAATCTATAATAACAACTTAGAAGCAATCAAACACAAAAGATAATGCCATCATTCAGTAGGCAATTTCATAATCTTAGATTAGGAATTCAAAAACATACTTACCAAAATTCAAACTCGTCCTTATTATCCAACAGTCCAACATCCGGAGCATTGATCTCGTTTGTAAGGAGTTTGATTGGCAATTCAATTGCTCCTATGACCACTTGGAAATATCATCATCAATCTTAATGATTTGATATGACAATCACCACTAATAGAATTATCACAGAAATCACATAGTTAAACCTTGAAAAATATAATTTCTTTGATCTTTTCACGATCTAATACTCAAATCATAATCATAGACTATCCTACTGATCATTAACTAGATTTGATCCCCGGATCACGAGTAACCTATTCAAAAAGGATTTACTCCGGTGAAATTATAACTCCATGTGAAGGAAAGTTGCACGCCCTTAATGGGCCATTTAGCATTGCTTGGTAACTAGCCTATCTTGACAGTGCAGGTCTACTTTGGCCCATATATAGTGGTAGGAGTATTTTATTCTAAAAAAAAGTTCAATTCAAAAAGCAATTCCTGCTCCAAGAATAGATTGTCCATAGCCGGTAGGATTTTTTCTAACTCACCATCATGCTTTCCACATTTAATACATATCCCATATATGATGATAATTTCAGTTGGCAAGCATTGCCTACGCTCTTACTAAGAATTTTAAAAGGCCTGCGCCCAATTTAATTCAACTTGTTTCTTTCTCGTTTGAGATTGTTGACCTCCATATGTGATCCACATGTGCACTTGATAAAATGCAATGACAATGACAACATTGGCGGCGACCAAAGGAATGTATAATTTAATGAGTAATAAATTCATGACATCTTGTTTGCATTAAAAAGCGCTAAACCATTGCCCATTTTGCCAAACAGATTGTCATTGTCCATCTACAATGCCAACGCAGTTTAGGAAACTCCACATATGTGCTCGAGCATTGTCACAAAAATCATCCACACATGAAAATTTTTGTGTATAAAAAATTTCGCGAGCACACATAGTACCAAAAAAAAATTTAATTTTTTAAAAAGGAAAATCAATTTCATAAGAAAATAATAATATTTATAAAGAACAAGTCTACATAAAAATACCTCCGAAAATAATTTATTTGTGACATATATAAGAGTCAATTCCCACCTTCCTTCGTAAAGAACCCTCCCCTCCAACAAAGGCCCCTTATGGCACCATCACATGAGAGGCCATCTAACCTCTCATTTTATAATAAAAATATTCTTTTAAAAGCTCCCATACCCACAATTCTCTCTTTGGAACCCAAACAATCATCTCCCAATCTTTCTCCTACACTCACACTCTAAATTCTCTTTCCACCACCTCACAAATGCACCAAAACAAGGTTTAACATGGATGCGCTAGCATGTGAACTAAGGGTTCAGTTCATTCCCCAGTTCAAGCCAGCGAACGAGTAACCTTGTTGCCCTACACAAGCCACATATGGATTTTTCTTGATACAACATGGAGTTTATTTTCATGTTCTTTTTGTGTTTGCTTTAAGCAAGGAACTACCTCAATGTTTATACATGCCATTTTTGTATTTGGGCTGATTTGGGTTTGTTTGGGGGGGGGGGGGGGGGGTCTGCTTGGTGGGGGGGGGGGTTGTCTGCCTTGGTTGTTCGATTCCTACTGCTGCTCCCTGGCTTTGGTTGTTCAGTTCCTGTTGATGTCCCTTGGCTTTCCTAACTTCCTGTCTCGTTATATTGTTTAAGTTTGTAATGTCTATGGTAAGAAAGTCAAGTTTATCTCCATTTGCATCAATAATGAAACCAAAGGTTGCATGACCACGTGCTCCTCACATCACCCAATCTTTTTTGATATGATGGGGGACTTAATTATGAACATGGTGTCCCATGTACCACCCATTCATGCCTTTCTTAGTATGGATAGGGCCCTTTGTGAGGGGTGTCAAGGAAGTGCTATGAAATCCTCTCAAAATTCTACCTAAAAGCTACAAAAAAAGCATTTAAACAAAAATAACACGTTGAAATAAAAGGGAAAATAAAAAATGCAAAAAGGAACCCTACAAACTCCTAAAATTGCACTACATGAGTTGTTAAAAGTCTTAAAAAAAGAACAAAACAAACTTACATGAACTTAAGCAACTAGTCCATAAGCACAAGGAAGAGCACTATGACACACACAAAAGAAAATATGCAAGCCTGCAATAAAATACATGCAAGGGCATACCTAAAAGCATGCCAATGGCCAAGATTGAATTAAATGTGCATGATTGCAAAGCAGAGCACATATTTGAATGATGATGCAACCGTCAATATAGATTGAAACTTTTTAGCCCAACAATCCTCAAAACACATATACACATTTCCTGAAACAAAATCCGATTTAATTTAAGAAAAGCCAAAAAAACATGCAAGCAACTCTGAGAAGGATGTCAACTCACCAAAAAGTAAAATCATATATGCATTTCAAAGAACACAATGGTGCAAAGAAGAATATCAAATATTGGAATTAGCGTAGGTCCAAATTGGCACTATGCATTTTTTTAGAGAAATTCAACTTGAATTGTAAAAAAAGAAAATCATGCAAGCGGTTCAAAAAGTATGCAAAACTATTCCTCGACAAAATCTCGTTGATGCATTGCTCGCATATGTGATCAAACAAGTCGATAGGACAAAATTCTCCAAACATTTTTTGATATTGGTGAATTAAAAAAACAAATAGAAATATAAGAGAATAAATGCAAAACTATTCTTCAACACAAACTCCTCAATGCCCAAAACTTTAATTTTCAAATTTTGAATCATGGAGGGATTATATGGAGAGTGTTCAAAAGAATTTAAAAGAAATGGCTAGTTGAAAAATGAAAAAAATAATAATAATTTTCATGTAACTATACCTGGCCTCCTCTTTGAAAAGTGGTAGTTAAACTTTCCAAAAAGGTGTTTTAACTATATTTGCTCCCCTTCACATGACCCCCAAGTCCTCCCTCCTTTTTTTAAATATTATTTTCATGTAAAACACTATAAATATTTTATGAGGATGAATAGAAGCAGATTGATGTGTTTTTGAAGAAATTGGGAGTTCATTCCAAGTGAGATTGAAGGCTAGGTGGCCAGCCACTCCTTTTGGATCATCTCTTCAACCCTAATTACTTTGGTTAGTAACTGGTTTCATGTGCATGCAAATCATTATTATCTCTAGCAATGGATCTACTCTACAAACTCTCCTTTACAAGATCAAACATTTTTCCTATCATTTTCCCAACAAAATCCCAAGAAAAAAATCCTCCAATAAAATGTCAACCAAAGCTTGCAAAAATAATACCTAATCTTATTGCATTAGCCATTTGAACACCATGAAATGTTATGAAAAACTCCATAATCATACTAGATACAATTCTCAACCAAATAGATTTGTTTTGTTACTTTTGGAGAAATCTTGCATAATGACATAATAATTGTCTCTAGCTACACTTTAGTAGACGAAAAATCCATGCTTAAAACTTTTCGAAGAATACAACAACATCATCAAGCCTTTATCCCACTACATGGGGTCGGCTACGAACCTATTTTCTCCATTGTGTCATATTAAGAATCAAATTCTCAATTAAATCTAATTAAAAAAAATCATTTCTAATACTTTATAATCAAGTCTTTTTAGGTCTACATCTACATTTCTTAACATAGGTCAAATCTAATAAATCAACTCTCCTAACCGAGTCATCGGAAGACGTTTTAAGTGACCAAACCATCTAAGTTGTCTCTCTAATAATTTTCAAAGAATATAGTTTTAAAATTAAGAATCGAAAAAAAAAAAAATAGAACTTCAAAGAAACTTAGCATCCATGGGCCAAACACTGACAGCATGAATTGGATCTCAAGGAGAAAAATGGCTAAATGGATCAATAAGAAATACCTTGAACCTACATTCCAGCTAAAATGATGTTTCTAAACATACTAAAATTAAAATAATAATAATAATAATAAAGAGGTGTATCATATAAAATGCTCTAAATAAGATCAACAAAATCTAAATTTCTATTTTCAGGGTGAAAAAAGCAACTGACCTGCATTCCAGATATTCCTGAATACCACCTTTGCGCTTAATAACGTCTTTAAATTTGATTTTCTCAATTGGGCTAAGGGCATTAGCTTTCAGACCAGCCGCAACAGCTGCTGCACCTCCATCACTTGCATCCCATACAACACTGGAAACACTAGGTTTCTCTACATTGGTGGTAGACTGGTAATCATCAACAGAAATGTTTGTAAAAAGTCCTTGCTCATGGATGAGAACTTCCCAACCATCATCTCCTTCATAAGCCATGTCACCATGCTTGCGTTTTTTCGCATTCCGTACTGCCCTTAGAACTGTTGGTTCAGGGTCCGAATGACCAGAATCAGGTTGTTTAGATTCTCCAAGTTGTTCAATTCCATTAGTAATAAAAGCATTATGCAATGATACATCAAGAACATTAGAAATGGTAAGATCTTCACTTGCAACCTGAATTTGTTCTTTGCACGCAACAACAACAGGTTGCTTTGCCAATCCTTCCTCAACAGATTGGTTCAAAGCTTTTCGACTAACAGGTGCAACAATGCACTTCAAAGGGGATGAAATTGTCATCTTCTCAGCAATATGTGAAGTCTCTTCAGATAGTTCTATTAGCTTCTCAGAAAAAGCAGGTTCCCTTGCAGTTGCTTCAACAAATGGCAGACTAATGGATTCAGTTCTAGTACCAGCCTTCTGACTTAAAGCTTCTATACATGAGTCATTCAACGTATTATCTCCAAAAGAAGTAGCATCATTCTTCAGTGATGTCCAGGGAGGAAGTGCTTGAGAATTATAATCAAATGATTGATTTAACAAATCAGCAGACCCTGAAACATTCTCAGGTATCATTGTCAACTGCGGCGAACATGAATCCTGAACAAGGGAAAGGCTAATAGCAGAAGCTTCCTTTTGGAAGCCAAAGTGTTCTGATGTCACCATCATCAAATTTTGATTCACTTCTTCATCAATTGTTTGAGAAAATTGACTAGATTCAGCAATCCTACAGGTTCTAGTTGGAGATACAGCACTTGAACAAAGCTCAACAATTTCATGCTTCTGGCTCATGCTACCATTGGAACAATGCTGCAAGCCATCATGCAAGGATTGCAACTCCTCTTTATCTTGGCAACATCTTAGTTCATGAATTAATCCACTAGAATTTGGATTGTATCCATTCTCATGGCCTAAAAGATTGCTTATTCCACCTTCTTCACTTCCTGCTTTAATTTCACCTATCTCAAGGTCAACACAAGCGACTGCTGAATTCTCCAAAACTTCTTGTGATGCTCTATCAAGACCACTATTGTCAACCCTATCACGATCTACCTTAAATTCAACTGTAGGAATCAAAGGGGAAGCTTTCACTCTTCCAGAGACTGAGTCTTTAACTGTTCTGTCTGATTTTCTGATTCTCCCTCTTCTCTTCGGTGCCAGTAAAAAGTTTGTTTTCTCAGCAAATCTTGCCCTTGTGTTTTCATCTTCATTAATCTGATCTCCAGATGGGCCGTCTTTGACAGATCTGTCAGATTTTCGGCTTCTACTTCTCTTCTTCAGTTCCAGCAAAGGGTCTGATTCCCTGGCAAACCCTGCCCACATGCTTTCATCATTGGAAATCTGATCTGGAATTCCATCAATTCTAGCAACCACCTTCAACTCTGCATAAGGGGCAGCAGTACATTTTCTTCCCTGCCTGACAACCCTGGGATGTTTCTGCTCCCCATCGAACCTATCCTTTGACACATCCCCAGAACCCAAAGTGCTTGATGTCTGTTTGATCTGTGTTTTAGTAGACTGCACTCCAAAACCAGCGCTTGATTGGGCCCTCTGGATGTAGGCAGACAAAGAATCTTCCAAGCTTGAATCAGAAGAACCATCAGAGATCCCAAGAAGCTCAAAATCCCAAACATCACCATCCCCCTTGGACAAAGCCCGCTTAGATCTCCCAGTTTGGGGCTTTACAGAGAGTGCCAACTTAGAAGATGAAGCGCTACAGCCCATAAGGTCAGGAGAGGAACCTTTCAGTACATCTCCCCAAGATTCTGCCCCAGAGACATCTTTAACCTTCTTCGGGCCCTTCAATTTCTTTTTAAAACAAGCCAATGTAGTATCCAATCCACCTAAATCTAACATCTTAACGTTAGGGTTTTCAACCCTAGACTGCGGCAGCAGAGGCCTACCTTTCTTCACACCCCGCGGCTTTTTCAAATTGAACAGGGATCCAATCGGCCGTTCGTCCTCCTCATCGGGCACGGCAAGACTTCCCACCGATGATAACGATTTCCTCTTGCTTTCTCTCTCCACGTCATCCCCCATCTTTTCGAGTGCCTTGCCCTAGGTCTATGCGTGCTCCAAGAAGGATAAGCTAACCCTATCTCACCAATACCCTCGGAGGACGGGCTAAACCCTTCGTGCGGCTGGAATGCTCTCTCCTCCAAAGCCGACCTTTCATCGTTAATAAGTCTAGTATCGAGGCTTCTTGGGAACCCAGAAAGGTAAAACACTGAGAACCACAGCGCGCGTCAACCAGATTAAGGGAGAGCGCGTGGCTCCGGCGATGGTTGAAAACAAAAAGGCGGCGCGGCAGTAGCCAGATGCTTACCTAAATACGACGAGATTCAGCGGCTGATAGAAGATAGATAAAGGAGCGCAACCGGCGTGATGGCGCCAGCGAAGGGTTCCGGCGACCTAGTGAAGAGACACAGAGAGATTTGAGGAAGCGGGACTTATTCGCGCGAGGTGGTGAGAACTACTGGTACCGCGTTGCGAATTGACAGAGTATCGGAGCTGTGTAGCTGTAGGCCTGTAGCCCCTTCAGCTTGGATGCCTTTGGTATTTTGTTTAGGAGATTTACATACATACCACTATATTATTGTTATTTTATCTATCTAATATCTCAAATATTAATATTACAGTAATACCACCCAAATTCTAAGCTTACATCAAATATGCCACTCCGTCTCTCGCAGAGCTCGCGACGTCAACGGCACCGCCTTCAGCTCCGACCGTCGCCTCCATAGTTGGATCATAGGTTTGAACTTTGCAACAAAAAAACAAAGACAACAAATATAATCATAAGCAAGAAGGAATATGTAAAATAGCAATTTTTTATTTTCAGAAACGCTTCATTTTCTACCATGGTTTGCTCGAGGAAAACTTAGGATATTCATTCCACTCCTTCATGCACTCAAGCATTGGATCGATCATCCTCCCCATGCAAATCATGTCGAAAACCTTATCAAATTCTTCCCCCAGTGAAACAGTCTTCTCACCACTTAGAAAACCAGCACCAACATCCCTCACAAACCTGTAAAAAGGATAAGACCTACCGTCTTTGATCATATTCTCAATCGTCACCAAGCCATTCTCAAATGAAGTTCTTGCTGCTTCCACCTCCTTTGGCGAGGATGCTGCTTTTCAAAGAGGATGATGGAGGCGAGGCCGGAGCCGATGGTGGTGCCGTTGACGTCGTGAGCTGTGCGGGAGAGGGAGTGGTAGATTTGAGGTAAACTTAGAATTTGGGTGGTATAACTGTAATATTAATATTTGAAGTGTGAGATATGTAAAATAACAATGATATAGTGGTATGTATGTAAAAACCTCTTTTTTTTGGGTGGGGGTGGGATTTATGAACATATCATACAACCTTCATATATTTATATTACATAAATAATATCTAAATTTCAATATGTATTTATATAATATTTGAATTATTTCAAAAAAATAACATTACTTCTTTTTCTTAAGTAAGATACACATTTTCATCTATCTTATACATCAAATGTGATGAAGTATTTAAAATATTAAAATTTAAGTGTTAGACAAATGACATTTTGGACAATAATTTTAACATGCTCTATCTATAATATGATTGAATTGCATGTACATCATTTGTAGTAATAAAAGAATATATATATAGAGTTCAATGTAAGTCATTTACCTAACTAAATTAAGTGATTCATTACATATCATTTATTATTGTTACATACTAGAAAATTTACAACAGTTGATTATTTAATGTCTCAGCTTTATGCTAATAATATCCGGATCGTAAATAAAAATTTATAAGAGACAAAAGTTTTACATGAATAACCAAAAAAGTAAAAAAAATGAGGTATAGCTTGGTTGAATGAATCTACTAAATAATAGAAAGATACATGAACACTCTCATCTTCACAATTAAAGATGATGGATTATATACAGTTGAGAATGATTATGTGATTCATGTTGTACGTAGTGATTATATAAATTGGATGTATGCAAGAGAATAATTAAAGCTAATAATTGAATTAGATGTTAATAGTCAAATAATAATAATCGTATGACGAAAGTTTGGTGATTGTAGCAGCAATTATTATTGGTGAACATCAATAGTGATCGTAAACTAAAAAAAGTAAGAGTGTTGTTTAGCTCTCTCAATTCTCTCCCTCCCTTCATGTAGAAAACGGAGTCCTATTATAACCTTTTTAAGAGAGACATTTAGGCAATTTTTACTACAATCCACAATACTTTGTCGAATGTTTCATATTGATCTCCTTTCTAATATATCGTTTATCTAACATTTGAGCGTCTTAAAATGTCGTAATTAAATGGTTTTTTTTTTCTCATTGAATCTTTCTCATCAAGCTGCTATATTTAATTATAACAACGCAAAGCTTAGAGACCATTTTATCATTCAATTAATTTTCAAGTGTTTTTAAATATATTTCAAGTGATTGGTTTGAGTTTATTTGGACTCAAATCCGATCATTTGTGGTGTTGATGGGTTTATTTCATCAAGACATTTATTTCAACTATAAGCTCATTAAAATAAAATATTGGATGATCTTGAATTTAATTTTGAAAGTATTTCATTCAAATATTGCCTCGAGATTCATGTTGGTCAAGCGAAATTTTTGGAAACACAATATTGCCCGCTATTTTTAAATGTTAAAGCATGTGTAGTTCAATATTATATATTCAATATTCTAAAATCTCATGGTACAAAATTACAATTTAAAAAAAAAATCAAGAGGACTACCATGCATTTGATGTTAATGTGGATCTCCATTCGGTGCTATAAAAGCAAGTAAAATATCCTTAATTATAGTTCCACTTTTTCATGGAGTTGGTACGTCAATTGAAGCTAAAGTTATTGAAAATTTTTACATCAAACAATTCAAAGTTTGAAACTTCTATTATAACTTTGTCCTATATTTTTTTTTTTGGTACACATGATTCTTCGTAGGCTTGGTTTGTTTGCCCGTTCCCTGTGCCTTTTCAGTTTCAAAACGAAATTTTTTTTTTTTGAAGTTTGAATGTGCCGCACGCTTTTTCCAAAACTCCATTTTCTTACTGTTTTGAGAAGCGATATGGTTTAGCTTTTTCCGTTTAAAAACTCCATTTCCTCTAATGATATTTTTGAAACGGAGAAGTTAAAAAAACCAAACGAAGCCTTAACCTCCTTATCATAACCTACAACTTTTAGCCATGAATATATTTAAACATAAATAATCAAAAGTTTAACAACAAAAACTTTGAAAAGTTGATGGTTGGAAAGCATCATCATTATGAAGCTTACTATAAATTGTCGCACGAGCCCCAAGATTGCTAAAGACAAAGATGGTGCTAGGGAGTAGAAATTATTCTGTGTGGAGACCGGATGCAGAACGTTGTCCGGAGACAAACTAAAATGCGCCACGTTAGAAGTATAGAGCCGCGATACCGAGCAAGGGGTGATGTGGAGCATTCTTGTTGACCTCCGCACATAATAATTAATCGCTAGGAAGAGATATATTTGAGCAGCTTCCTTGTTTTAAATTTGAAATGAGTGAATATTTATAACTCATATTTTTATATTACACAATACAATTTGGTTCGAAATGACTTTCTTTACATATTTCTTCAAATGACAAAACAACAGTAATATTTTGCCAAATTATGACTATTGTGAAGCATACAAAGTCAAATAACGCCATTATGTTAGTTTATTGTAGCATTATATCGATTAATTTTATATCCTTGGTGATGTGCTTATTTTGGCAAATATTTTTCTTTTTTTTTTTAGTTTGGCAAACATGATAAACACCCTCAAAATAAGGAATAACATGGTAAATTCCCGACTTCCTCATCAGGACCATCAATATTTTGCAAGTGCTTCGAACTAATTTGAATCTAATTCAAACCATGGTTTGAACCTATTTGAAACCAAGGTAAAACCTTTGTTTCAACCTATGGTTCAAATCAAGTCAGAACATGTGCTTGAATAGGGACTTCAACCTCTGTTTGCATCGTGTCCTTCAAGCTCCATCAATTCTATTGATGCTACTCTCAATAAACTCCTTTTATTCTTCACATTTTGTTCGTATGGTCAATCAATGTCTACCCCCAACAAACTCACATCACGACCTCTTCTCATTCACGTGCTACTGATTCCATTATTACATACTCTCACTATCAATAATAACCCTTAGCAATCCCCTCTTTTTCTTCGCACGCCAACAATCCTGTCGATAGCTAACCCCACAATTTGAGCTAAAATTTTGAATGATTGGAGTCCAATAAATAGTACCAATAAATACAATTTATTATCCTTCATTATGCATACTTTTCCCAAATTGAGGGATATTACCCAACTAAAATAAATCAAGAGATATATAAAGTTAAATTTCACTTCTTAAGCTCAATTACCTATAAAAATTATTAAACAAAATTTCTTTTATTCTTTTAACTAAACCATCCTGTTTTTTTTCTTGAGAAAATAGATAATTTAGAACATTATTTTCTCATAATATATAAATATGCAATTAAAAAAAATCGTAATAGCTAAACACAACAATGTAATAATAATAGTCAATTTTGAAGTAAACTAAATAGGGATCAAATTGTATGCTATTTAAATTAACATAATTTCAATAGCTTAAAAAGAGAAAAAATTCACTTCAGTTAACTAACATCATTCATGAGCCTTCTTCTTTAAATTGAAATTTTCTATAAAATATCGAATTAGAGTACTTAGATACCGTAGTTAATATAAATGCAATGAAAAAATTTTGGGTCAGCATATACATTTTATCGTTTTTAAATATATTTTAAAATGAATATAATAATATAGGATTAATCTGTTATTTTTTATATAATGTTTTCAAAATAAAATTGATGGTCATAAAATTTATCAGATCAAATTTGGTTGGGGATCTAACTGTAGATGAAAAATTAATTTCAGGAAAGAAATTTGAATCATTATCACAACAATTTGAGAGAAATTATTATGTGCAGACACTGAACGTTGCTCTGTGTCCGAAGACGAATCAGAGCGCACCACGTCACCCGATACACAGAGGGTACACAACCACATTACACAGCAAGGAAGTGACGTGGCGTGGCGCTCTCTGATTTGTCTCCGGACGACGTCCCGTGTCCCCATGGAATAATTAATCACAAATTTGACTCACAAATTATTTATTAAGTTGAACACAAATCAGAACAAGAGTCAGATATCAACATCATTAATTTTGTTTTCTTTTAATTTTATTTTCTTTAGACTATTGGCCAAAATACAGACATTAGCAGACCAAATGATACAATAAAATCAAGTAGAAAACTTCAGGTCAAGAGCATTTTGCATGCAAAAGTTCATGCAGATCATAAATCACTAAAGATTGATAAATTAAACAACATTACCTGAAATCCTTTTGTCATTCATATAAACTCCAAATGTTGGACAGGGCTTGATTAGCTACAGTTTTCTGAGTACTGAAAATAGATACAAAGATTAAAGTAAATATTATTCAAATTAAATTCTTACTTACAAATCTGCTACAACAGGGTGGGGGGAATAGATTTAAGTTTGATAAGAACAATAAGAATAAATTTGAAATTTCCCCTTCAGTATTTGAATGTTTGTAGCCTTCTTTCATGAATTTGAATCACCTGAACTGATCAGTCATGAATAAAAAAAACATTTAAGTTCTTGTTTTAAGTCTTATCCCTGAAAAAAAGAAGAAGAAGAAGGAATATTTATGGTTGAATTCGAGAACAGACCTCTATATTTCTTAGCAACACTGTAATTAGATGGTATACTTAATAAATCCATGGTATTATAGCCTTCCGCGAAGGAGGGTAACTTTCAAACTTCTGGTGGTACCACCTATGTGTTTCTGCTGCTGCAAAAACAAGATTAGATACCTGGGCCAGAAAGAACACAACAAAATCATCATCAAATGTTAGGATAAAATGAACCAATAAGGTTTTCAAAATGATAATCTGCAACTTTGTGCAAGGATCAGAAATATTATCACCACAAAGAAGAAAAGGAGCCAAACTGTTGGGTCGAATCCTCCACTAGCAAGTAATATACCAGCATAAATGACCTGCATAGATAGTAGTGATAAATATGACAGACTCTGATTCGGGTGAAAAACATCAAAGAATCATCATAAATTTCTTAACATCAAGTGTGCAACAAAGTTTATACATAAATGGTGGGAGAGGATTTGATTCTTTCAGATATTCCTAAAAGTTAAGTTTAATGATTCAAATAGAAAAGCACAGGTGATGCAGAACATTAGTAAGGAAAGCCTTATGGATAAAGTAGATGCCTCAATGCGGAAATAAACTAAGTAAAAGGATAGCTAAATACAAAGGAGAAGGAAAGGAACTGACAATATGGATGTGCATCCATTGGCTCGCCTTCTTCAAACTTCACCCAAGAATTTCACACCCATAACAAAATTTAATTAATCTTCACCATAAAATTTATAAAATTGGTCTTCAATTCCCTAAAAGTGGAAAAATTAAAAATGATCATAAAGTCGGACTTCCCCACAATAAGTTTATTAGCAACAACAAAAATTAAGGAAGATTGTTTCATCTTTATATCCCAACCAAGAGATTCTAAAATTGGCTAGCATTAAATCCTCCTTTCGCAACTTGAATTAACTCTAAGATTAACAACATTGTTTCGAATTTGTGAAACAACTCCCAATGATGTTGTAGGTAAAAACTAATCAATGCTATCACACAAGTTCAGTAAAATACAAATTAAGCAGAATGTGCTTCAAAGTGTATGAAATTACTATTTCACCAAGGTAATGTGGGCATGAAACATATTCAAACCAGTCACCATTTGGGATTATGTATTCATCAGCTCCTCTCTGCTCTCGTAAAGAGCCCTGTCAAGAATATGAAATTTCAGTTATATAACTTTCTTATTGACTAGAATTTTGACAGTTTCAGAATGAAGAACCAAAACTGATGGAGAAGGGGGTACTTTAACATTTGAATTGCAAGAGATGAATATAGACAATAAGACCAAAAGCATTACATATAACAAACAGTTCAAGACAGAGAAAAGAGATATGGCCCCAGAAGTCTTATGCTGGCTTGGAAAGTACAGGTATAAAATATTTCATCATGCTGTATGAGAGAACATCGTTGGATAAAGAACGCGAAACAGAAAAAATATATCATTCATCACACAAAATCTGGGATCCATATCCCTGGAATTTAAGGCTAAACTGTTCACATTTGATATTTTTTATAGGGAGAATGTTCCATGAATAGGAAGCAGATAAAAAAGCATCATGCAATTTTAGCTTGGAAAGAGGGGTTATTCATCCAGACCAAATTCTATTTCTCTATGGACTTTATTCTACGACTTTTCACATTCAAAATTATCCAGCAATATCAGCCCCTATGTGCAAAGCTTCATTCTGAATGAACCATAAAGCCTATGTATAAGTAAAATATGAGGAAACAAATAATGGTTTAAACACTAGTAGTATATGGATGATTGCAAAATAAATACACAATAGCTACAATCATTACAAAACTTGCAAATCCTTAGATTAAATACAAAGTGTACTAATTTGCAAGATACCTGCCAAATTAAGCCTAAGGTTAAAATAATTGAGAAAATGTTAAGAAAATAGGAACATTAGATTTAGTATAAAACAAAGAATAAGTACATATATGTAATTTTAATGGATTTGATATTAATAATTATTAATCAACATCCTTAAAATATAGATCTATACCTATACATTATAGGTTTGCGTATATTAGATTTATTATACATCATAATGGGGTATGGGGTTATAGACAAATTTATAACCTTTAGAGTTAAGGATGAGTATATAAATTAGAGAAGTGTCTTAGGAGCATTATATAATAATAGAATATCATGGAGATTTAATTGTAAATTTCTATGAATCTAAGTATTGAGGAATAAAAACTCATTGATGGGTAAGTTGAGCATGAAAAAATGAGATTGTTAACAAGGATATGTAGCACAATTGAAATAATAAATTAGAGAATGATTATACAAGAAAAATAGTCGATAGGACATCTATTAAAAATAAAGAAATAAAAAATAGAATTATGTGGTTTCAGGCTTTCAGCATATACAATGAATGATAGAAGATGAAGCCATTAGACAAAGGGATAAAATTAGAGCCAAATAATTATTAATGAAGAAGAGCCTAAAATAACATGAATAGTGTTTCAAAATTATTTGTTAAGTACAGATTTGACACCTCAAGCAACACACAAAAGGAATAAATAAAAATTGTGGATTCATACAGCCCACCCCAAATAGTTCTAACAAAAATAATAGACAATGATGATGATGATGCAATTCCTAAACATACTTAGAACATGAGCCTCCTAAAATTCGTATCCCTAAAGAAATACAATTAGGTGAGGCTAAATCTCATAATGCAGAAGTTATAATTCATGAAAACCATAAAATATTCCAGCTAGCGAAAAACAATGCCTTCATTTGATTATTCCACGCAAGTAGTCTGAGTGGGTGAAAAATACATATGCACATAATCTTTTTATCTCCTACATTCAATAATAGTCAAAAACTTCCAACTTTTTAGTCACATATAAAAGGCAAGGATTTTTTCAAGGTAGAGAACAAATTAAGAAGGTCAGAGCACATGAACAGGAAAGAAGATACTAAACTCTTCCCATCTAAAAAAAGTGTTTTAGGCTCTGAAGTAGACAAACAAGAGAAAAATTGACACAATGAGTAGAACTTAAAACAAACTTTATTAAATAAAGGCAAACGACCCAAAACTTGACAAGCACAACAAAGATGCTAGGAGATTTTAAAGAAATAAAGAAATTTAAAAAGACGCTATCCTCAGACAACCGTCAGAGCGGGTTCCTCACATGCATCGAATTTGTAGGTTAAATAAGTAAAGTGCATAGAATTAGCAAACCGATGGTCCACCACTGCAAGACTGTCCCAAATGCTTCCAAATCAACCAAAACACGACACCCTAAAGTTGCTTCACTGTTGAGAAGAAGGATACAGATGGAGTGGCACTTGCGGAGATACGAAGAGATTAGAAGCCTGAGAAGAAAGGGTGGAAAGAGCCCGCAGGATTTCCGGAGGGGATGAGAAAAGAAGGTTGGAAAGAGCCCGCAGGATTTTCGGAGGGGATGAGAAAAGAAGGTTGGAAAGAGCCCGCAGGATTTCCAAATAAACCCGCAGGTTAATAGCAAATATGCTCACAAATATCAACTCCCTTCTTTCATAACATTTTCTCATATTTATAGGCAAGAGAGAGGAATGCCAAGAGCCACATGTCTTTAATT